ATAAAATCAGGAAAATATACAAGAATCCTAAATGACGTAAGAAGGAAATGAATATAGAATGGATAAAAAGAAAGAGAATAAATTTGTAACCAAAAGCAAACTTTGAAAGCCAACGTTTATTGCCTTGAATTAATTCGCACTCCTTACGCGATGAGTCATCATCACTTTTGCTTTGGACTTATTTCAGTCAAAACCGAGTAATGTCAAACCCAGTGAGGAATAAACGAAGGACATGGCTAATATCCGGTGATTTGTCAAGGACATTTCTTTTGCTCTCAAGCCATCATTCTGTCTGATTTGGTTTCAATCGATTTGTTGTTGGGAATGATAGTACCTTTGCCTCCAGCGGAAGAATTTCATTATCGTATTTTGAGGGAGGATCGATAGAAATTTATGATATTTTTTTTCACAAAAGTTCATCCAATACAGAGCTTAAGAGCCACTCAAAGTAGAGGGTTGCTGAATTAGGTATGTGATATAAACGTAAGAGGTCAAAATAGAAAGTGAAGATTACGTGGTTATCGTGGATAGATAACAACTGACTCTTAGCTCGAAATAATTAAGACTGTAGTGTTTGAGGAAGCATTCACACGGGAGTTTGTTTCACACAGTAGCGGTTTTTGGGAAGGAATCTTCCAAGTGGAATGCCGTTCTTACCAAAGCGAATGTGTGGTGACTGAGAGTGATTAAATCCTGTGGATGTAGCAAGACGGGTCTTAGCTGCAAAGGTCTGAGCTGGTGTGACTAAAGAATGGAACTCATCGGAACATTTGCCATGGAAGTAGTGATAGCAACGAAAGGCTTGTGATATTGCAACTGTGAGGAAAGGGGATGTAGGGGGAAAAATAATTAATCTCTTACAAGGTTGAATTAATCCTTTTAAAATTTGTTAGGGCTGGAAAATGACAAATGCCCCGGTATGTCAGCAATACTTAATTATTAATGATCTTACTCTTGCAACGATAAAGAAAGCATAGTAGAAAGGGTCAAAATTTTCCGATAACGTTATTTCAGTGCAAGATACATGCAACTCATACAATTAATAAAATGTATGAAGAGTCCTGCGTGGCAAAAAGCTAAAGGGATAATTCCCCATCAGAAAGATTGACGTTTTTAATCGTCAAATCGAAAATTGCGCCAATGAGGTTTTCTCTTGGGTCAAAGCCGGTATGGATGATTTCATTCGTTCGCGGGAAATACTTGGTGAAACCCCAATCTTCTTCATGGTTCATACCAATATTCTCTGCCTCTATATCCCGAAGGAACCACTATTTTAGGCTATACTAGCGTGACAGCTCTCGTCACAACATACGTTTAGTTGCTGCAGCTCGTAATAAATGTATACGATTCTTCGAAGGAGCTAAATCTCTGTTTGATGAGTGAATGATGTACCGTATTGTATCTAAAAGCTTTGGCTCTCGTGATTACTGGCGGCTCTGTAATAGTGTATTAACTAAGTATGGATTCTCTATTCCTCCTCTCTTCAATCAATTTCAGGTGTTAATATCTTCTGTTGATAAAGCTGAATGTTTCGCCCGTAAATTCTCTTTAAACTCTTCCTTTGACTCATCTGGAGTATCCCTGCCCAACTTCCCAACTAGATGTGAGTCTCAATCGAGTGATATGCATATAAACTCTTCTATGCTTTCTGCTATCAGCTCTAACCTGGATACCCACAAAGCATGTGAACCTGATGCTATCCCAGTAATAGTAATTAAGAACTGACTCCTATCCTCTCTAAACTGCATAATAAGTTCCTCGCCGCCTCTTGTCTTCTTGCATGACGGTAGTCCTCATTTGTCGTTCCAGTTTTAAAGAAAACTGGTGAACCGTCTGACCCTTCCAACTATCGGCCCATTAGCCATCTACCCCTTTTTGGGAAACTCCTAGAGGCCCTAATAAATGCTGGATCAGTTAAACATCTCAAATCGTAGTGTCTTTTTCAGACAAACAATATGGCTTTCATTTCTCCAGGTCAATTGCTGATGTACTGACGATAATTGTGGAAAGAGTCTATCAAGCTCTAGATAAGAATGCTGAAGCCCGGGCTGTAGCTTTAAACATCTCGAAAGCTTTCGACAGAGTTTGGCATGCAGAACTTCTCCACAAACTGAAAAATTATTCTGGACAATTTTTTGAACTAATCTATTCTTTCCTATCACACCGTGAAATGAAAGAAATCCTGAACGGCTACATTTCCAGTTCCTTTCGTACTAATGCAGGTGTCCCCTCCAGGACTCTATCCTACTTTGTTTTTGATTTTCATTAATGACATTCCGGATGACATCAGCTCTCAACTTGGTATTTACGCTGATGACACAACCATTTACTCCTGTCTCGATACTAAGTCTGATCAGTTTAATAAGCTCAAAATGGCAGCTGATATCCAAAGCGACTTTCAGTCTGTTGTTAACTGGGGCAAAGAATAGGTTGATAATTTTAACGCCTCCAAAACTAAACTGCTCTCTGTTAATCATCTGAGAGACCATTTCTGTCTTCCATCAGCAGGGCTGATGCTAACCTCCAAGATAGTGACTCGCTGCGACTTCTTTAGCTAAAGTTCTCGGCTGTCATGAAGTGGAATGACGGGTTATCATCTCTTTGCAGGTTATTTAAAGCCAGAAAAATACTTTTAGATTGTAAGAATTGTTTTTTGGAGATAATAATGATTTAGTGATACAAGTATTAGTAATTAACCCATAGCTGGAGGTGGAGAAGAGGTTGATTCATGCTTTCCCAATGGTATTTACGTGCAAGTGAATATAACAAACCCAATGAGAATTGGAACTCGGCTCCCTGATTGACAAATCCGAGCCATTATTAATTACACCACCCACACATCCAGGCTTACAACACCTGGTATTCTGAAATGGTCACTTATCTCCGTACAGACGAGGCTTGACGTTGCTTAACTTCGGTGATCGTACAGGAACCGATGTTTCAACTTGAGTGAAAAGATAGACATAGAAACGGTTTTCACTAGAGTCAAAAGGTAGACAAAGGTCCAGTTTATATTACAGCCAAAAGGTAGACATAGTTTGTTAAAGTCAAAAGGTAGACAAAGGTCCAGTTTATATTACAGCCAAAAGGTAGACATAGTTTGTTAAAGTCAAAAGGTAGACAAAGGTCCAGTTTATATTACAGCCAAAAGGTAGACATCGTTTGTTAAAAAGTCAAAAGGTAGACAAAGGTCCAGTTTATATTACAGCCAAAAGGTAGACATAGTTTGTTAAAGTCAAAAAAGGTAGACAAAGGTCCAGTTTATATTACAGCCAAAAGGTAGACATAGTTTGTTAAAGTCAAAAGGTAGACATAGGTCCAGTTTATCCCAAATTCAAAAGGTAGACATAATTCCTGGTTACATTTACTGACTGAATAATGATACGAAGAAGGTTTATGAATAAAACATTTTGCCTGAATAATATTTGAAATTTTTCTATCAACATAATAATAATAGTAATAATGATAATAATAATATTTGTTATTCAAAGTGGGAGCAATATATTCACATAATGGTGCGGGCACCTTAAGCTTTTCGGAAGAGAAAAATATTAGTGATTTGAATCAATCCAGCCGATGGTAATTTCTTGCATCTCGTGAGTTTTTGTCATTGAGTAATGAGTTATCAAATACGCACCTTTTGAGGGCACGATCTTTGTGTGATTCACTCTTGAACCTATCGAAACATGCATTAATCAGAGACAAGATTTTAGTTTGTTGATTGGTTCGGACGGTCGTAGTGGAAGCGGGTTGGCTTAAGGCCGCAGCATTATTGCTCGACAAAGTCAACTCCTTACTCTTTTTTGCAACCCTCCACTTTCTTTATTTGCGCGTCAATCTGATCGAGTTTTGCAGTATTGTGTTGTTTGCATTTCGGAAAATAATAAGTAAGATTAAAAATAAATAAAGAAAGCAAGGCAAGAAGAAATAACGGCGTGAATTGGTCCTATGATTCATCATCAAAAAGAAAAGAAAAAAGAGTGCTAGTCAACAAAATGAACACACCCACCCAAGATACGTACGCACAAACAAGTACATACTTTTATTTATCTTGGTAGATATATAATATATATGCAGGCTGCTCGTTTCCGAATATGCCTTGTCCTGGATATGCGTCAGCAAGGCCTCTGATCGGTAGGTTTTGAAGAGCATGACACCACCTCTTTATTGCTGTTGTTCCCAGGTCCATTCTAACCCCGGGTGGTAGCATCTGTTAGGATCCCAGCTATGGGAAAATAGTTAACCCGCAAACAGTGGTCAAAACACTTTGAAAGTATAAATTTTTATAGTAAAAATACCAGCAATACATTTTTGGAAGAAATATAACACAAGCAATACATTTTTAGAAAAAAATATTACCAGCAATGCATTTTTGAAAAAAATAAAATTACCAGCAATATATTATTGAAAAAAAAAATTACCAGCAATTTGACATTTGACAAAAACCCTCTTTACAAAGACACGTTAATAAAACTTGATCTAGAAAATGATTTCTTCCAAAGAATACATATTCTATTCAGAAGAACCTATCCTAAAAATCTTGTTGGCATTAAATAACCCATTGAGGTTGATATGCCGTAAAACAAAATAATCTAAACTGAATATGCTTGTCTGCTAAAGTGGATAGTTAATCCATGCTGTAGACGTCAGCTCCGGCACATCGGCGGAGCTAACCTGTGTTTTATACTGCATCCATTCTGTAAGGACATTAACTATAGTTTTTAGGATTTTTGAGTGATTGATTTGTTTTTTACGGTTTTTGCAGATTATTTAAAGCCAGAAAATATATTTTAGATTGTAAGAATTTTTTGGGAGATAATACTGATTTACTGGCACAAATCCTACCAATTAACTCATAGCTGGGGAGAGAATAGGTAGATTCATACTTTTCCAAGGGTATTTGCGCCTGAGTGAATATAACGAACCTGACCGGAATTCGAACTCGGCTTTCCGATTTCCAATTCCGAGCCGTTATCCCTGACACCAGCTTCACATCCAAGCTTACAACACTTAGCATTCCCAAACGGCCACCCATCTCGGAACTGACCAGGATCGACGTTGCTTAACTTCGGTGATCATACGAGAACCAGAGCTACATGATAAGTGACCACAAATCATTGCAAAGAATGGTGAATATATAATTAGATAAAATATTAATTGTGCTTAGTTTTTTGAAGAATGAAATTGGTAGACAATGATGAGTCAACCCAATATTTGTTTTAGACGAATCATGGGCAAACTGCGGGCCGTTTGGTCTATCTCAATGGCACGCTTAATTTTCTTAAGGAAAATAACATTTCTTAAAATTTTGCTTTGTTTTGTTCTCACTTGTTCACTCACACACTCTCTCATACATAAACAATGATTACGTTCAATGTTGCTTGAATTTTGTAAACTTTCGGTGAAAATAACGTTTTCATCATTTTAAACCATTGGTGATTTTCACTAAGGAAGATCATGCGTGTAAATATATTTTAATTGAAAGAGGAAACATTTATACTTATTTTTTTTCTCTGGAGAAGAAATATAATTTTTAAAAGAATTTCAAATTAATAAATTAGAATTAAACCACACGCGGTGACATGTGTTAATCACACGGTCATCACTGATAATATAGACCTATATACTAAACATGCACAGAAGATTAACTGCTAATTTTGTAGGATTTTATGATGGTGGGGTAACGTTTATACGTTCAGAAAACGTTATCGGTGAAACGAGTTCGAATTTTTGTTGAAGTTACGCCTGTCATTTTCTCAACGTTGCTTTTGCATAATTCTTACAAATTTCCGTTGCCCTGTTCCCCTTTTTTTTATCAACTCTATTATTGGTTTTTGACAAAGACAGAGAACAAAACAAACAAACACAAACACTGATGATGCAATGATATTATAGAAATGATAAAAATACTACCTATACCTAAATTTCATAGACTACACAAAAGCATTTGATAAAGTACGAAACAATGATCTATCTGAACAGCTCGGAAAACTTGATTTTTTACAATGCTTTTCACACTAGAAACAGCCTAAGAGCCACCCGTGGTAGCTGGTTAAAGAGTAATATGTGAAAAAGATAATGGTTAACTCTAGACATGAACAGGTTATGATTATAGTTGGAAGGGATGCAATCTCTTGGGAGTCGGTTGCCCAAAATAACGGTTCGTAGGAGGAAGCAAATTTGTTCGGGAAAGATATTAAGATAATTCAGAACACTCACAGAGAAAAAACCGCCTGCATACGGATCGAAAATGTATTGAGCAAGTACTCAAAAATAGAAAATGGCGTAAGACAAGGGTGCATCTTCTTGTTAGATTTATTTAACCTACGCAACAAAATGATTTTAAAAGAATTCGAAGTTCTACCAGTATTTATTATTATTCATCACAAGAACACATTTTCTTTTTTTTTTAAATACTTCAATCCAAGCAATGCGATAATGCCACTAGGACGCGCTGAATTACAAGGAATGAAAGAAAATGAAGAAGTAAGGAAAGCACAATAAATGAACAAGATTCAGGAAGACAAGATGGCTACTGACATTGAATTTAAATTTTTCAAGAAATCGGAAGGGGGTTCCACAGACATGAAGTGCGAGAAAGGAAGAGACGGTTGCATCTAGCTAGTTCAACAGTGAAACGGTGAGACCTAGTTGTCAACCTAGTAGCACACTTCAATTCATCCAGTCGAGGTACTAAGGGAAAAAGCTCCCTAGAACAGTTGCTATGAAAATATTTGTAGAAAAGACGGAGAGAATCCACGTCACGACGGTGAGAAAGTGATTCAATACACGGTTGGTACAGAAAAAGAACATTGCAGATACTTCTAGACAAAGAAAAGCGAAAAGAAAGAACTAGCCATCAATTGTAAGAAAAAGGAATTTTGACGGGAGTTTAGTCTAATCTGGAACAGGATCACATTGTCGGCTAAGTAGATTGTCTATCTTTATTATGTTAGATAGGACAGACTTGTCCGTATTGTTATCTGCACAGTAATAAAAATAAGATCTAGACCAGATATTTCTAGACATGGACAGGGAAACGAGAACAGTCTGATCCTGTAGATTAAATAGAGGGTTCAGTTCAGAATTCCTTGATATTCATCTGATGAAGGCCATTTGGCACGATCGCTGAAATATGATTTTGGTAATTACGTTCAGCTTTATACGATCTCAACTTAGGTTTTAAAAATGTTTTAGCCAACACAGATGCACAAACTCCGCGCCATTCTTCAAACAAAAGAAGAAAAGACAGATTGTCACACCCTGTCGGAACTCTAATTCTTTGACTCAAACAGAAATGCTCACTATGACATCCACAGTTCATATGATAAAAAACAGACATTTATTTCACCCATCTCTGCACACCGACTTCCAGCATAGACCAGCAAACATTTCTGAGTCTGTCACTGACTATAAAGCCAATATTTACCATGTATCCATTTATGGATGTGTAAAATGTATAAGAAGTGATTACAGCTTAGAATTTACTAATATCTATTAATATCTAACTGAATCAAAATTACCACCAGTTTTATAGATATATGCTGTTATGATAGACACCTATATGAGGAATTGGTGTTACAGTTAAAGAACACAAAAACTACATTTGAAATGTTCACAAGTCATAAACCTAACTTTAAAAATATGCATATTTTGCAACTGTCTATTATGACGATGTTGTACCCATGTTGGGGTACCAATTCTTTAACTCAAACAGAAGAGCTCACTTCAACATCTACAGCTCAACTTGGGTTTTGCAAAATATTTTAACTAACACAAATGCACAAACTCAGCGCCATTCTTAAAAGAAAGTGATATTGTCACACCCTGTTGGAACTCCAATACTTTGACTCAAAGAGAGATATTCACTTCAACGCCTACAGCTCAACTCAAATAAAAATAAGATCTAGATGATATCCCTAGAAATGAGCAATGGTATGAGAACAGTCCCCTCCCGTAGATTAAATAAAGGGTTCAGTTCAGAATTCCCTGTAGGTCACTCAGATCGTTATAAAACTGAGGAAGACCGGAGAGTACAGCGACCGTGTTGTAATGCTCATATAAGCAAGTAGTTTCTGGTTAATGATACAGTAAGGAAACACTGGAACAAAAGATTAGTGAAGAAAAGGTTTAGTCTCATGAGGGACATTGATTAATAATACAATAACAACGAATACCGGCAATGCGTGCGATTCAACAATATGCCCTGCGACCCACTTTGCGATGACCATTCCTTTAAGCAGACGTTCTACTCATAGTGGATGGATGAGTCTATGTTCAACAATTAGTGTAGAGAAGGTCGGTCGTCTTTCTATACGGCAGACCGTAACAATGTGATAACAGCAAGAAAGGTGAGGACAATAGTCCAATTATCAATAGTGTAGAATATAAATAGTGCAGAAATTCAGATAGGAATTAAGTAAATCATGTGAGGCAAAATATGGTTTATTTGTTTTATTTATGGATTAAAATAATGAAAACGTTATTTTCATAGAAAGGTTTACTTACACACACACACACACACACACACACACACACACACATATATATATATATATATAAACCGAAAGCGCACGTATTTAAAAGGCTTATAGCCTGCTTCACATACAATTTGGCCTCGCTCAATTTCGCTTCGCCCAATTTGGCTTCACATAATTTTACATCACATAACTTTATCTAACGTATATTTAGTTCCGATAAGTTGGCATCACAGATATTTGAGACACATAATTTTGCTTTACGTGTATTTTGCATCATATAATATTGCTTCACATAATTTTACTTCGCCTAATTCATAAATATTTTGTTTTATGTTATTTGGTTTCAAATATATTGTACTTCACATAATTTTAATTCATATAATTTTGTTTTACATATATCTTGCTTCATATAATTTGGCTTCACACAATTTTGCTTTACATATTTGCAAGAATCTTCGGTAAAGCGAATCGAGTTCTCTCAGTCACTTTGTGTTTATCTAAAAATAAATACGCTTAAATCCACCTTCATCCTTAGGGGTAGAATCTCCGACTGACGCCAATTCAGCCGAGTTTCGATCCTAGCTAGAGGCAACTGGACGTCTAGCCACAATGATAAGCTGTGATACAGCGAAACAATCTGTCTGTGGATGACAATATATATATATATATATATATATATATATATATATATATATATATATATATATATATATTTCCTTGAAAACGGTCGACAAGGAAGATTTAATTAATCGTTTATTGAGTTATTCCATAAATCTAGAATTTTTCCGTTTTTCAGGGGTTAAAGAACATAGGAATTGTCCACAGTTTGTAATTGCTCTGAGCGCTTTCGGCTACTCTAGCCATTATCAAGGATGTGTTTTTGGATGGCGAATTTCTGTGTGTCGCTGCTACATAGTAATTTTATGGTGTGGAGTTCGAGCGTTTTGTGTGCTTCTTGGTGGTCACGTGCTATGCTGTTTTTAGAACACTTTTAACACGCCGTCTCCTCTGCTAGTATGAGATTGATAGTGGGGAAATAAAGTTTAATAAGCAGACCCTCCTTAATTACGTCTTGTGTACGAGTACGTGACCTGAAAAAGATACTTGTATTATCAATCAGAATTTTCTTTAAAGGTTCTTGGAAATTTGGTAAAATATATTGGTCACTGCTAGTTTAGATTTGATGGGATTATTTCGATTTGTGACGACGAGGTTTGCGGTCTTCCATTTTCTATATTATGAACTTTATATGTTTTCCGGTAGTTATGGCAGAAATATGGTATTTAATGATTTATCTTATAGCAAAATCATCTTGCTTATAGTTATTGTGCATCTGGTTGAAATAAAATATATTGATGTTTTGCGGTGTTGTATTTTTTTACGGGCGTCGTGCATATATATGTGACGTCCCCCTCCCGGTGTCGCCGCTCCAAACGTGACGTCCGCCTGTCTGTGTCAGTCGTGCTATCCTGTCCTGTGACGACCAACTGGTTTGGTATTGGTTGCGGCACCCAAATGTGACGTTCTAACCTTTTGGTGATTCGGATGGGAATCTGGTTAGATTCGGTATCAGCCTCGTCGTTCCCAGCTCGCTTCCAACGTCTGGTTACCGAAGTAAC